CAATAAAATACAATAAAAGAGTATTTAAATATTCATTTGGTCAGAAAAAAAACACTTTAAATAAAATAAAATATAATGATTATTTCAAAATTGATTTAGTCGAAGAAAACATTTAAAATAAATTATTAAATAAATGAATAAATAAATAAATAATAATAAGACTAAATTAAAAAGTAAATAAATAAATAAATAAAATATAAATAAATAAATAAATAAAAATTATATATATATATATATATATATATATATATATATATATATATATATATATATATATATATATATATATATATATATATAATTTAACAAATACAATAAAATAATATATATAACAGGTTTTCCGATGCCCTAACTTAAAAAGAAATAATATTTATAATATTTTAAACATGATATAACTTAAACTGCATCCAGTTTAACATACATAGTAGCTAGTTATGATTTAGTATCCAAGAAAATTACTTTGTCAGTCTATTCACATATGATAAATAAACATATATATATTACATATAATACTAATAAAATAAATATTATTTACATATTAGGTCAGAAAAAACTCTTTTGTTGTTTTTTATTATTATTATTACTATTATTATTATTTATTTTTATAATAATTGTTATTTTTTGTTCATTATTATTTTTATTATTATTATTAATATTATTATTATTTTTTATTATAATTGTTATTTTTTGTTCATTATTATTTTATTATTATTATTGTTAGTATTATTATTATTATTATTATTATTATTATTATTATTATTATTATTATTATTATTATTATTATCTGTTCATTTATCATAAGTGAATTTCCTGACAAACCAATATTATTGCATAATATCCCACTGATTACAACTATAATAAAGCAACAGATTAATTAATCATGCAACAAATAAACAATTGAACAAACCCATTAACAACATGAATAATAATGTGAAACTGCAATGCAGATAAAGTGTTTATGGAGCCGTATAATGTATTGAGCATCAGACACACACACTGATGTTCACTGAAGGCCAGTGTCAGACATGAGCGGCGTCCCATGATGCTCTGCTGTGTGAGTGGTTTACAGGTCAACACAAAGACAGATCCGCTACACAATCAGCTGCAATCATCATTAGTGACGTCAGAGCTGTAATTACACGTCAAACACAGCTGCAACACACACACACACACACACACACACACACACACACACACACACACACACCCACCACTGGATCATCAGAGCTCATTAACACAACGCAGAGGAAATGATTTTCCTGACACGCGAACCATGAGCAGAAACACACACACCATGCAGAGACAGCACTCGCACACACACCTTCGCCATGCAGAAACACCACACACACACACTCATACACACTATGCAGAAGAAACACACACGGACATGCACAAACCTTCACCATGCAGAAACACCACACACATACTCATACACACACACACACCCCTTCAGCAAAAGAAACACTATACGTACACAAACCTTCACCATGCAAAAACGCCTCACACACACACCTTCACCATACAAAAACGCCATATATATACACAGATAAACACAAACACATGCACAGAAACACCCACAAGTGAACTCCAAATGACCTCTCCACTAATAACTCTGAACGCCATTCTAAAAGAATATGTACATACTGTAGTAAACTGCATCTGTGCTAAAAATATACTTATAATAATCCATAGATATATACATTAGATGTCGCCTACCCTGTTGTTGTCTATTGGAAGGAATGCGTCAATAGAGCCGCCATTTTGGAACAGGGTAGCGCTCCTTTGAAATGAATGCGGGACCAAGGTACAGTGGAGGACTGTGGCCATCCAGAGCCAGAGATACACACATATACACATATATCTATGATCGGGAGTTCTCCTGGATGTTAGTATGCAATTTCATTTTAATTACGAAAATTATAATTTTACATCACTTTTCTACATTGATGGATCAGTGATCGCACTGGCATTCCTGACAAAAAGCTTGTGTTTGTGTTTATGGAAATGTACTATCCACCCTCCCTGTTAAATTTAATATAATCATGTCCTGAAACACCTCCTCTCCTGCTTTCACTTCTCATACTGACGTATTATCGTATTATCATCAATAACGTTACCTGATTAGCATAAAAGTTCAGAACATAAAAATATGCAAAAAACTTAATATTACCTATAAAATGTTCTGCCTTTGTGCTTTGTTTTCTTTGTTTGCTCGTTACTACACCCGTAGACAGCGCTAAAGTCCAGCATCTTCACGTAATAACACTGTCTAGACTAGTGCGGTTGAATGACATTTGTCCTGGGAGCACTGTACCAATGTGGCGGCGCTATTGACGCATGCTCAGGGTCCCTGTGTGATATCTAGTGTATATATCTATGGTAAAATTCTATACACAGAGTGTTTCTTAGACCATTACTATTACTATTATTAATCATTCATTCATTCTCTTTCGTCTTAGTCTCTATTTCAGGGGTTGCCACAGCGGAATGAACCGCCAACTATTCCAGCATATGTTTTACACAGTTAATGGTCCTCCAGCTGCAACCCAGTACTGGGAAACACCCATACACTCTCATTCACACAAATACACATACACAGTCACATACACTACAGCCTAGTTAGTTCATCAATTCCCCTATAGGGCATGTGTTTGGAATGTAGGGGAAACCAAAGCACTCAGAGGAAACCCACGCCATGTTTAAATATGTATTTAGCCAGATAATTTTTTTTTTCAATAAAATAATACAAAATTATACATAATTATTTGGTCAGAAGAAAACACAATGAAATAAAATAAAATGTCTGTTTACATATTTATTTGGTCAGAGAAAATAAAATAAAATAAATGAATGAAATAATAAAATAGAAATAAATAAATAAAATAAATAAATAAAATTAAATAAAATTATTTACATACTGATTTGGTCACAGAAAACCTTTAATAAAATAAAATAACTAACTAAATAAAAAATAATTAAAATAAAGCGAAATTAAATTAAATAAGATTAAAATAGATTAAAAATATTTACATATTTATTTGGTCAGAGAAAACACTTAACATAAAATAAAATAAATAAATAAAAAATAAATAAATAAAATACAATTATTATTTAAATATTGATTATTATATAATTTAAAATTTAAACAATATGTATATTCATATAATATTTTATATAATAATAAAATGGGGCGTCATTGTGGGGAAGTGGGTAGCACAATCGCCTCACAGCAAGAAGGTCGCTGGTTTGAGTGTTGGCGTTACTGTGTGGAGTTTATATGTTCTCCCCGTGTTGGCGTAGGTTTCCTCCGAGGGCTCTGTTTTCCCCCATAGTCCAAACATGTGCGCTATAGGGTTATTGGGTAAGCAAAATTGGCTGTAGCGTATGAGTGCCAATGAGTGTGTGTGGATGTTTCCCAGTGATGGGTTGCAGCTGGAAGGGTACCCGCTCCACAAAACATATGCTGGATAAGTTGGCAGTCCGCCGCGGCGACCCCAGATTAATAAAGGGACTAAGCCAAAAAGAAAATGAATGAACAAATTAATATAATAAAATAATAAGCATATTAATATTATTATTATTAATATTATTATTAGTATAATTTTTTAATTATTGTAATGTAATGTGTATTTATATAGCACATTTAATATGTATGGCCATACATCCAAAGTGCTTCACAATCATGGGGGCGGGGTCTCTCCACACCACCACCAGTGTGCAGCATTCACTTGGATGATGTGACGGCAGTCACAGGACAACGGCGCCAGTGCTTCACCGCACACCAGCTACTTGTGGAGTGGAGAGACAGTGATAGAGCTGATTCAGTGGATAGTGATGATTGGGAGGCCATGATGGTTAAGAGCTGAGAGGGAATTTGGCCAGGACACTGGGGTTACACCCCCACTCTTTACGAAAACAAATGTAGTTATTATTATTTATTATTATTATTATTATTATTATTATTGTCTGCCGCTATATTATTATTGTTATTATTATTATTTGACGTTGTATTATTATTATTATTATTATTATTATTGTTATTATTATTATTGTCTGCCGCTATCTTATTATTGTTATTATTATTATTTGCCGCTGTATTATTATTATTATTATTATTATTATTGTTGTTGTTGTTGTTATTATTATTATTATTGTCTGCCGTTATTATTATTATTAATTATTATTATTATTATTATTATTATTATTATTATTATTATTATTACTATTACTATTATTATTATTATTGTCTGCCTCTATATTATTATTATTATTATTATTATTATTATTATTGTCTGCAGCTATATTATTATTATTATTATTATTATTATTATTATTGTCTGCAGCTATATTATTATTATTATTATTATTATTATTATTATTATTATTATTATTATCTGCCGTTATATTATTATTATTATTATTATTATTATTATTATGTATATACTATAATAAATAAATAAATAAATAAATAAATAAATAAATAAATAAATAAATAAATAAATAAATAAATAAATAATAAACATTTTGATATACATGGACATATACATACTATGATACATACATAGAAAAATAAATAAATCAAATAAAACACTACTAGTATTACTACTGCAAACAACAACAACAACAACATAAATGTTAAAATAAAACAGCATACACAATATTAATATACTCATTTCAATATGTAAATAACCAGCAAAATAAATGCCAGTGACTCCAACAAATCTATAATACCTGTAAGCCAGAATATGACATATAGCTGCAGAAGGACTGAACGCAGCTAAACTCCAGATGTGTGTTCATATTTTAGCCTGAGAACTGAAACGCGTGCTGTAAATCAGTGCATTTGCTGCAGTGTGTGTGTTTTACTCACGCTGTCCTGCGTCAGATCGTTGATGTTGGTTGATATTGCTTGAAGCCAGTCTGTGCTTTCACCCGCAGTGCAAAATTGAAGAACGTGCGTGCAAACTCCATCTAAGGCAATGACTTCGAAACTGTTCGATCTGGATCAAAAGAAAAGCAATATCTATTATGAACAACTCTGAAAAGCACAACATGATCACAACACAGCAGCACAAATCACTTACAACCCTCTAGATCTATCATATACCTGTATTTTTGACAGGTACAGTATTATTATGTTATTGTTGATTAAAAAAAAACTTTAAAGCAACAACAATAAAATCAACCTTTTTTATATTACTACTAAAATAGTATGTAAAGATGAAGTTAAAATAAATAATTTCATTCTCATCATCAAAGTTAGTTGTATCAAAATGTAAAATATTACAATTACACATCATTAATAATCATAAAAAATACATTCATTAAGTAAAAGCAATATTAATTTAGTTACCAATATTTTAATCAATATTTCTGTCATTTTTATGTATTATTATTATTATTATTATTATTATTATTATTATTATTATTATTGTCTGCTGCTATATTATTATTACTATTATTATTATTATGGTTATTATTATTATTATCATTATCATTATTATTATTTTCTGCTGCTATATTATTATTATTAATATTATTGTCTGCCACTATATTATTATTATTATTATTATTATTGACTGCCGCTATATGAATATTATTATTATTATTATTATTATTGATATTATTATTATTATTGTCTGCTGCTATATTATTATTATTATTATTATTATTGTCTGCCGCTATATTAATATTATTATTGTTATTATTGTCTGCCGCTATATTATTATTATTATTATTATTATTGACTGCCGCTATATGAATATTATTATTATTATTATTATTATTATTATTATTGTCTGCTGCTATATTATTATTATTATTATTATTGTCTGCCGCTATATTATTATTATTATTATTATTATTATTACTATTGTCTGCCGCTATATCATTATTATTATTATTATTTTTATTATTATTACTACTATTATCATTATTATTATTGTTTGCCGCTTTATTATTATTTTTATTATTTTATTAATATTATTATTAATATGATTTCCTGCTACTATTTTATTATTATTATTATTATTATTATTATTATTATTATTATTATTAATTTTATATTATTATTATTATTATTATTATTATTTATTATGATGTTATATTTTATATTAACCTACTTAGTTATTTTTACAGTATTACACTGCTGGGAAATACTGTAACTGCTATTACTGCAGGGAGTACTGTAATTACGTTTTTTCATAACCTTTTCTGTCTTCTTTCAAACAACAAATTTATTGCAGTATATAAATTGAGCTTGCAGGCTAAAGTACAGTATTACTGTATTCTGATGTACTGTATATAGAGTCACTGCTGCTGATGGAGAGTCTATGTGTGGTTAAACCTTCTCCAAGTCCTTTAAGACGCAAGATATCAGATCAAATGCTCATAAAAATCTTCACGGCCACGGAGGTTTACTCTAGTATTGATGAGCAAATGAATAAGGCATCACAGATATGTTTGTGTATTGTGGAAACGGAGAGTAAATCGATAATAAATAGTAAAAAGTATGATTCACTGGATAAATTCTCAAATGACGATCCATAGGAACTCTTCAAAACAAGTCAAAATACATAAATACATATATAAATGAGCCAAACAAGCAAATCTCAGAGCGATATCAAAAGGGAATAAAAATGCACACAAATAAACAAAAACTGTATATATTATAGAATAATACATAAATCAAGACTGTAGATAAACTCACATAAACAAATGAATTCAATTAATAAATAAACGTTTAAATTAAGCAGGGCGGCACGGTGGCTCAAAGGTTAGCATTGTTGCCTCATAGCGAGAAGGTCACTGATTTGAGTCCCGGCTGGGTCAGTTGGGGCATTTCTGTGTGAAGTTTGCATCTTCACCCCATGTTGGCGTGGGTTTCCTCTGGGTGTTCCGGTTTTCCCCACAAGCCCAAAGACATGCACTATAGGGGAATTGATGAACTAAACTTCTTTGTGTGTGTGTGTGTGTGTGTGTGTGTGTGTGTGTGTGTGTGTGTGTGTGTGTGTGTGTGTGTGTGTGTGTGTGTGAGTGTGCGTGTGCGTGTGTGTGAATGAGTGTGTGAATGAGTGTGTATGGGTGCTTCCCAGTACTGGGTTCCAATTGGAAAGGCATTGTAAAACATATGCTGGAATAGTTGGCGGTTCATTCTGCTGTGGGGACTCCTGATAAATAAGGGGTTAAGCCACAAGAAAATTAATAAATGAAATTAAGCAAAATACATCAGTGATTTACTATACTTCACCCAAATGATCTGTTTTTTGACATGAATTTAAATTTCCAAATAAACAAATAATAATAATAATAATAATAATAATATTTTATGCAGGTGTGCTATTTGCACAAGAAATACACATACGCCAGACGTAAAGTTGGCGTGGACTAACGCACATTCTCACGTTCATTTCATCGTTAGTAAATCCAAACGTGAGAGTAATACCCGGCGTACACAAAGTTTTTGTGCTTACGCAGCGTTGATATAAGGCCCCAAAAGACTTGTGCCCTCCAGGACTGAGTTTGGACACCCTTGTTCTAAAACAATCGCAAAAACGAGCGCACTTCCAATAAGGTGTGAAATAAGTATAAAAATTTCATACAATTTAATAAACTTAACTTTACAGATTTACTAACAATTTACATCATGTCTTGACATGTTCTATAAATGTTGCCATAAATCCAGACTGCATACTACATATACTGTACTGAAATACACACTACATAGAGTTGACAAAAATGAAAAGCCTTCCTGTCAAGTGGATATTTTTAAGCAATGTTTAACAGAGCAAAGGCATTTTTTCACAGTATTTCCTATTACTTGATTCTTCTGGATAAAGTCTTATTTCTTCTAGTTTGGCTTGAATAAAATATAAATTGGCAAAAAGTAAAAGGTCAATATTATTAGCCCTTTACAACTGGCAACAGAACAAAACCACCGCTGCTCTGGTTTCCCCCCACAGTCCAAACACAAGCGCTATAGGTAAACTGGATCAACTAAATTGGCCGTTGTGTATGCGTGCGTGTGTGTGTGTGTGAATGAATGAATGTGTATGGGTGTTTCCCAGTACTGGATTGCAGCTGAAAGGGCATCCTCTGCGTAAAACATGCTCGAATAATTAGTAAACCACTGTGGTGACCCCTGATAAATAAGAGACTAATCTAAAGAAATCGGAATGATGAACTATGCCATTAAACTAGGGATGGGAAGATTAACCGATATGTATCGATACGCGGCCATCGGTAGAGCAGCAGAGGATAAATGAAATTTAAGAAAGCAAATCGAGATGCATCGGTTTTTGCGAGATGCTTCGGTTTTTCCAAGATACAGCTTATATTTTTAATATAGAATGTATTTTTTATTTATTAACAAGTGTTGTCAACCTGTTTTTGGCGCATAATTTAATCGACCTACATAAAGTATGCATTAGCAACGGGCTTGCGGATGTGTACACTTACACTACAACTCAGTGTATCAGGTGTGCGGATGAAGCTAGTGGAGCGCCCTCAGAAAGCGCGAGAAGCAAAACAAACATTTTATTCCCCACTGAGTTTTAAATCTAAAGTATGGCAACATTATGGATTCTGCAAAAAGGTTGGACGACTTGACAGGACAGATGCAATTTGCAAAATGTGCCGCGCATCTGTAAAATACACGGGCAGTACGACTAATTTGATATCTCACTTGAAGCGGTGCCACTGTGTTGTTGTGGAAGCATCTTGTGTTCCTGCATCCCCGGCTTTCGCACTGCTTCAACTGTAGCTACCAGCTCCAAAAGTGGTGAGAAAAGCGTTGAAAGTTTTCTCCATGCGCAACAGTTCTGCTCGCTCTACGCCAATAACGAATGCTATTGCATTGTTCATCTGCAAAGATATTCAGCCTAGTGACACGGAGAACGAAGGTTTTAAACACCTCCTGTTAATTTTTATTTATTTATATTTTTATCAGCCTGTTGTTTACAGTGACAGTGATGTTTCAAAGCAGCATAACACTGCTAGTTCACCACCTTAAGTTTTGAATATTCAGTGGCACAATATATCTTTGTAAAACTTGTGTTCATAGTTGAAAAGTTAAATCACAATTGTTGTTGTGCAATGCTAAACCTTTATGTTGAAAGAGTGCAAATATATACATTTATAATATATATTGCACTTATACATTCTGTTTATCTTGAAAATACTTAAATAATATGTGCTATATGTTCTAAAATGGCCCTCTACTGTAAACTGACACTCTGGCTCTGAGAGAAAAGCCAGTTTGTAAAAAAAGTCTTGGTTTTGCTTGGTTTATAAATAATCAAACTCATTCAATGGCACAGCATCCTCTTTCACATCATCTCATAAACTTGATCTAATTGGTTAGTGCTGAATTATCGCATTGTATCGTGATATGGGTGTGAATCGTATCGTGTTGCATCGCAATGTCACAAATGTATCGCTAATATATCGGATCGTATTCTTTGTATCGAGATGCGTATCGGATCGGCATTATAGCTTAGATGCCCAACCCTACATTAAACTATACAATTTTGCAATAAATAAATCAAACAGCCTATCAATCTTTACCTATATAAAGTTACAAAACCAGACTACACAAATCTCCCCGTCACATCAAATGTCTGAACTTAAGCTGACTGTCACGTCACTCATTTCCATTTGTTTAAAATGTGTAAAGCCATCAATATAAATACGTGGGATGAATCACATCTGTTGAAGAGCAGCTTGTCAAGCGCACTTTACCATCAATAGTAGATAATGTGCTCTTTTGACATTTCATTTCAGCGCTTGTGATTCGCAGATAAATCATACTTTGATTCACTGGACCGAATGTTTAATGACGGCTGTTGGTTCAGTTCAACGAGACCAAAGTCTCCATCAAAACACCAGACTTTACATACACTTCAAGTCACAAGTATTTGTCCTCCTCTGTGATTTTTTTATTTTTATTTTTTGTCAAATATTTCCCAAATGATGTTTAACAGATTCAGGAATTTTATAACAG